TATTTTTTTTTTTTTAGTTTTTATCCCTATTAATTATATTTTCACTTGTTACCTCTGAATTATTGGATCAGACCTAGATGACATGAAATTTTCAGCACAATTATAATTCAAATACTGTTTAATTATTGATTATTCTCATTAATTTTCGATCATTTTATATAAGTTTACCAAAAATAGAAAAAGTTTGGTATGTGTAACCAAAACAGTAACTAGGAAGACATTCACACCCTCTGCAGTCACAGTCCTGCTCTAATGCCTGTTATATTGTATGTCAGGAAAATGAAAGCACCTACATTAAAATCTGGCCCTAAAAAGCAGTGGACTACAGTCAACCAAATCACGTGTGTCTGTTCCTGGCAGAAAAATCTATAGTAGCACGAAACCACAATCTCAGTTTTGGTCAAGCTAGAGATCTGTGTGTTACATGACAGCCTCCCGTCTGAGACCACTTTCAGTTCTGCCACTTCACTGCTTACAATAATAATAATTAAAAAAAAAATTCTTTACATTAATAATGTGCATGATGATTTACACATAACAATATAGTAAGCATTTAAGAAGTAAATGTGAAGTTTAGAGGGTGAACATGAAAAGCTTTTCTTAAAAAGTTGTTTTACTTTGCATATTCTGCCTTTTCTTAATGTCTGCACACAAAGACAACTAAACCTAAAGTCAAAGTCATCGCTGACAAACAAACAGTGCATGGAAACTTAAGCATTTCTGTGGTTGGGGTTTCAAAGAAAGGTGTAAATACAAAGCGGCTTTTCTTCCTGTTTCACTCTACACTTCAGTTTCAGGAAGCTGCTCTTGTTTTTTTTTCATCCATATGAGAAGTCTAGCAGATTGACACAATATAAAAGTAAAAATATTATCAGAACACATTTAAAAGAGTATTTGAAGGGTACACCAACAAGGACACAAACTAGACTATTTTTTTTAATTATACACTTTTACATGTTTTTATACAGTAGCTGCTTCCAGAAGAGGGGAGGTGCTAATCAATTGTCCCTCCCTGTCCTTTGTGGCAGTGAAATTATTTAATGGCAAATTATTGACTATAGGTTTGAAACCTTGGTAAAGTGTGTTCATATGTGCCTCTCTTAGCACAGTGATGGATAAGTACTTTAATTTGAAAGATCACATTAAGTATGCATTTAAATACAGTTGTATGAATATTGCATACATGTAACACTTTATGAGAGATGCATAAAGTTGTAGACGCTTGGTGTTTGAAGGGAGCTTGCTGACGTCTTTGCTCACTTCATATCCTGTTAAAGCACACAGTGAGTTCTGTTCTGAGTAAACAGCTTCAGTAGTTGGTCAAGGGGTGGAGAAATGGCCCACCACAACTTTAGTTTGTCAGTATAGTTGTTGCTTGTGGCTTTGCTTGTTGTTCTCATGACTAAAACGCAGAAGGCCCTTTCAAAGTCCTTTGAGAGTATAAAG